CTAAAATATTTACCATTCAACCTGAAATTGACTTCCCGGTATGTGCTTTGTAATCTGTGTATAGAAGTTCCATGGTTTATAGCATATTTTACAATCTATCAAATAAGTTATTTCACACTGCAAGTTATGGATTTCATGTTTCAATTACTTAAATTTCACTGTTTTGATATTTGTAGACTTTTATGGCTTTTTTTGTTTAGGGTTTTGTTTCATTTGCTTATTTGATTTGATTTGATGCTACTTTGGTTTGTCACATAGCACTTGCACTGTGCAATATTTAACAGTATGAGGACTGGGGAAATGTAACCCTTTGGATATAATGTCTTTACAGAGTGTAATTGATGTTTCCTCTCTAGTTCTCAGTGAATAAAGATGTGACCAAGCCTTCTTTACTTAGTCACATTAAACAGAATTTCCAGGTGACTTTTGGTGAGTGAATAAGAATTCATGGTGTTTTATTGTCAAGGTTCACTTTGAATACAAAAGAAAAATAAAGCAGAAAAAAAATTATTGTTGCAACCCTTTCTAATTTTATTACTTATGGAAACAATATATAGCAGGTATCTTTGCAGTACATAACATGAGATGTTCATCTTTCAAAATGTGTAATTTTTGGTCTGTCTGTCTGTCTATGCACACTCACAACTGTGCTTCAATCCGCAACAGGTAACAAATTTGAAATTACAATTCTTATAATGTTTTTGAAAGACATCTCATGCTCACCAGTGCACAAACGTTTGATAAAAAATACAGTAAAACAGCATTTTTGTGAAGTATTAACTTTAAATTTACTTTATCATTCTAATATGCTGATTTGTTGTATACATACATGTACACATAAATACATCTCTCTCTCTCTCTCTCTCTCTCTCTATATATATATATATATATATATATATATATATATACATTTTGTTTTGTTTTTTGCTTAATATTTATGTGGAAACCATGATGCTTTTTTAAAAAATGGACAGAATTTAGAATTAGAAATCTTTTGTAAAATTATAAATGTATTCACTAAATGTAATGCATCTTTGCTGTATATATATGTATATTCATACTTACATATATATATGCATATAAATGCATTCATACATATACGTATATGTGACCCTGGACCACAAAACCAGTCTTGAGTTGCTGGGGTATATTTATATTGGGGTATATTT